ATTTTTTTTTTTTTTTTTTTTTTTTTAATTAGGTGAAAATCATTTTTATTTTTTTAATAGAAAGTTAATATAACATATATATATATATATATACAGTATTATATTTGTAGTAGTAAAAATATGTAAATAGAAAATAAGTGGTTTCATTTATATGAATATATATTTATTTTATAATATTTTGCACTATATATTGTATTTTTATATGCAAGTTAATTTATTTTAATTGATAGTATATTTTCAGTAAATTTAAAGAAAAAAATTAAATATTCAAATAAATATTTAGTTGGTTCTTCAAAAATTTCTATTTAAAGAAACATCTAATAGAAAATATTAAGAAAATTTAAGCTGTATTTATTTTATTTTATTTTATTTTATTTTATTTTATTTTTTTTTTTTTGTACATTTTATCACATACATTTTTTTTCCTTAAAAAAATATGTATTTTCTGATTAAATGCATTTTATGATAATTCTATCAAAATAATAGCTACATATAATGAGATTCATATATATTAAAATAATAAAAAAATTAAATAAATGAATTACAAAAGTTCATGTAAAATTAATTTATAATTATATTAATGTATATACAGAATAATTTATTATTATTCTAATTAAAAAAAAAAAAAAAAGATTGAAGGAAATTTTCTTCATAATTCATTATATTAAATTTTTATCTGTATGTGTTTATTATATGATACATATGTTTGTTTTGTTTATTTTATATAATTAATATGTAGACTCTTATAAAAAACTATATTTAGCATGTATCACTTTTTAATATATTCATAAGTTATATATTTATAATAATTTTAAAAAAAAAAAAAAAAAACAGCAGTAGAAGAGATTGTATACTTTATATAAATTATTTAAACTTAAGTGATTTAAAAATAAAAAGCAAAAATTTATGTATGCTATTTTTATATTTACATTTATATCTTCAATATGTTTTTCAATATTTTTCATGACAAAAACCTTTTATTTTGTTACAAAAAAAAAAAAAACTTCATTTTTTTTTTGTCTTTTTGCTTTTTTATAATAGTAAAGCTTTAGTGTTATGTATAGGATTTAAGAGAATTTAATAATTTATATATATATATAAAGAATTTATTTTTAATTTTTTAAACTTTTATTATGGTTATTTATTTTCATAATGTGTACATAATAGTGGATAAATTTGAATATCAAATAATATTCAGTTTCATAATTGTTGTTCATTTTTGAATAAAATATTATATATTATTTTAAAAATATACACAATTTTTTTTTTTTTTTTTATAATATACTAATTATTTTTAACACACTATTTTTTTTTTTTTTTAGAATTCTATTAGATTTATCGTAATTTTTTATTTTTAATATTTATTTAATTACGCTTAAATTGCTAATATAATGTTTTCTCATTAATATATTATATATATATATGGATTGTAAGTTTAAAATAAACTTATTAATAAATTTTTATATGTGTATATTATTTATATACATATCTAATTGTTTTCTTTAGAGTGTGACTTTTATAGTGCTTAATTCAAAGTAAAAAAAGATTACAAAAAAAAAAAAAAAAAAAAATTTTAAGAGATAAAGTTAAAAATTTATCAATAAATTTAAATGATAATTGATAAATAATTTCATTTTATTTTTGTTCTATTTTTTTTAATATTGTTTTGTGTTGTTCTATTAATTATTTTGTTCTATATTAATTATTATTTTTCTAAATAATAATGAAAATTTAAAATAAGAATATTAAAAAAAATTTTTTTTTTTGTATTTATTTTGAATTTATAATAAAATTTGAATAAAATAATATGTAAAAAAATTACTTTTAAAAACTTTTGTCCCATTATTGGAAATTATATTTATAAATATATTTTAAAAAAAAGTTACTTTACATATATTATTTTAAACATGCAAGAAAAAAATAATTATCTTTATTTCTATGCCTAAAAAAACTCTTTCTACTTGCTGTTTTATACATGCGATAATAATAATTGAGTAGAAAAAAAAAAAAAAAAAAAAAAAAAAAAAATTATAAATAATAAAAAAAAATTTGTATACATATTACATTTACATACAAAAATAAATTTACTTTTTTTTATTATTATTATTATTATATTTATTATATTTATTTAAATGATATTCTATAAAGACAATTATGTAAACTAGAATAATACATGATATTAAAAAATAAATTTGTCAAGATTTTTTATTTTTTTTATATAATGTTATTTTCATTATAAAATATTTTAAATTTATTAAATTTTAAATAATTTGTAGAACAAATATTAATTTTAATTAATATTTCAAGAACAAATTGCAAAATTTAGTAATCTTTTATGTAATTTTTTTTTTCTTTTTCTTTAGAATTCTTCCGAGAAAGAAAAAAAATACGTAAATATGTTTGAGAAAAAAATAAAAAAAAAAAAAGATAAAAATTGGAACATGTTCGTGCATTATATTTGTTAATATATATATTAAAATTTTATTTCTTAATGTTTTTTTTTTTTTTTTTTTTTTTTTTTTTTTTTATAATA